TTTTCCTGAGGAGCTGTTTTGTTTGGCGTTTGTAGTTTTAAAAATAAAGTTTGTTTCTTTTGACAAGTGGCTCCTGAATTGTGCCCAGTCAGACTGCGGCATATATATATATAGTTTTTTTTAAAAGAGGTGGTACTTTGGTTTGAATTTTTGTTCATGTGTTAGAAACTTAATCCACAAATTGATGTGGATATTTTGGAGTAGGCTAATTAGGGTTAGATGAAGATATGAAGGGGGAGACATATGATGTAATTAGTGGCTTTATAATAAGAGAGACCAAGGCTCTCAGGCTCCTGCTTTTGCCATTGTGTAATGCCTTCTGTCAGTATGATACAGCAAGAAGACCTTACCAGCCAGGTGCATTGTCATATGCCTATAATCACAGCAGTTTGGGAGGCTGAGGCAGGAGGATTGCAAATTCAAAACCAGCCTCAGCAATTTAGCAAGACCCTAAGCAACTTAGAAAGACCCTGTAACAAAATAAAAATTAAAGAAAAAAAGGGCTAGGGATGTGGTTAAGCGTCCCTTGGTTCAATCCCAGATACACACAGACAAAAAAAAGAGCAACCCTCACCAAATGCAGCATCTCAATTTTGGACTTCCCAAAATTTAAATTTTAAAAAAATAAAATTCTTTTTTGAATAAATTATCTACTCTGTAGTAATTTAATATAGTAATATAAAACAGACAAGTGGCCACCAATTCCTTAATTTTTCTCATATGATAATGATTTACTAAAACCTGGTAAGCAACAAGTATGTATAAAGCATCTAATAAAACATCATAAAATTTTAATTACTACTTGCTAAAATTAAAACTGAATTATAGAAATAAGGTTTCTACCTTTTTCAGGAAATACATCTTTTACAGAAAAAGCCCCATCATGATCTGAATCACATGGAGAAGAATYTGGAGTTTTCACTAACACCCGGTCCTTAGGAGGTGATGAAGGTGATCGAGGAGGTGTAGGCTGTGGAGTAGCCACAGGGGTACACACTCTTGCCTAAAATAAAGTAGTACAACAAGACAAATGGTTTATAATCACCCAAGTACTGCAAGCTCGTTCATAGACTATATCGAATTTAAATGGTGGGGGGGGGAAGGGGGCGCAAAATAACAGCAAAAAAAAAAAAAAGGAGACTTAAATACCAGTATAAGGCTGGTCTACAGAAAGCCTCTACAATTGAAAAACCCTGCCTCTGAAACAGGCCTCCAAGAAAACTAAGGCACCCTATTTTAATGTAGAGATGAAGACTATCCATACAGTTGAAGATCAAAACCAACTATAAATTTGATGAGTAGGCCACGCAACAAAAAGGAAGCATTTTAACTGTCAAGATATTAAAAAAAAAACTAAGCCCTTTTGCACAAAGAAACAGTATATAAAAAGGAACAGAAGGATTTTTAAAAGTGGGTGGGGAGAAATAATAATAGGGAGATAGAAATTACTAGGGGAATAAAAAGAGAACATTTTCATACTAATTTGTTGAATACATAATCAAATGGCTCAAAATTAAGGTAAAAAAGAATGACAGTGAAAATTAAGTCTCCTTCCTGTGTCCTTTTTTACATAGTTCTATTCCTCAGAGTTATCAAATACTCTAGACTTAAAAGTCATTTCATATTTATTTATTTATTTATTTATTGCCAATTCCAAGTATATTCCAAGTTGTCAAAGCTGGTTATTGGGAAAAGTTTTCAATTAGCAATAATCATGCCTTGGATAAATCTCATTGGCTATGATACTACTGTTTTGCAAAGCTTCATTACATAGTCATATAAATTTATTTATGGAATAAAACTCCAGAAGTAGAGTTCTTGATTAAAGAGCTGTGTTTTTTATTTGAATAGTTATTTCACTAAATTTCCCTCTACAGAACTGTACATTTCATACTACCACCAGAAGGTATGAGAATGTCTATTTCCCCAAGGTTTGCCAAACAATAGCTTTATCAGACTTTTAGATTTTTGCCAATCTGATAAGTAAAATGGAACTTCAGTGATTTTTTTTCCTTATTATCAGTGAGGCTGACAGTCTTTTTACATGAATATGCATGATTTATATTTCTTCAGTATTTGTGGACTCTTTGGTCATATTCTTTACCCATTCTTAAAATAGATTATTTGTCTCTTTTCATTCTGAAAAATCTTTATAAATTAGGATTAGCCTCTATTCTATGAGTTGCAAATTAATATACAATTTAAAAATGAAGCATATGAGAAATTCTATAATATTGCATCATAATAGGCATATTCTTATTCTTATTCTTACTATTTTTTTTTTTTTTTTTTTTGGTACCAGGGATTGAACTCAGGGGCACTTAACCACTAAGTCACATCTCCAGCACCTTTTTTATACTTTATTTTGAGACAGGATCTTGCTGAGTAGGTTAGGGCCTCACTAAGTTGTTGAGGCTGGCTTTGAACTCTCTATCCTCTTGCCTCAGCCTTCCAACTTGCTTGGATTACAGGCGTGCACAATTACTCCTGGCCATAATTGGCATATTCTTAACTTTCATTTTAGAATGAATGAAATAYATTATGCCTTTCCCCGTCTTGACTACATAAACATATAGCATAAAAATACTGCTTTCAAATATGATGTCATTGGCTACTTTATCATAATGACAAGATCTAAAGGTATTCTAGTGACATAATAATGGATAATGATGATGATAAACTATTTTTGACTATTCTAAGTTCCATATACTAGATTAAGCTCTTTGCATATATCATCTCATTTAATCTGCCACAAAACTTTATATGAGGACTAAGMACTCACAGTATGATAAAGGCATCAATCGCTTGCAAATTAAATCAAAATTAGATTAATTTTCATAAAAATCTCAATGGGATTTTTTAATGATGAAAGAATGGGGGTGAAGCCCAGTGGTACAGCACTTGCCTAGCATGCATGAGGCTCTGGGTTCAATACCCAGCACTGCAAGCTCCCCCCTGTGGGAGTGTGGGAGAGAGAGAGAGAGAGAGAGAGAGAGAGAGAGAGAGAGAGAGATTGATTGATTGATTTGTTACGGCACTTAGATTAAGTGTGGGGCTGGGGATTAAGCCCAGTTGGTAGAATGCTTGCCTCAAATGCATAAGGCCACGGGTTCAATCCCCAGCACCATACACAAAGTCAGGTGTGGTGGTATGCACCTGTAGTCACCAGGCTGAGGCWAGAAGATGGCAGGTGTTTGAGAGTTTGAGGACAGCCTAGGCAATATAGTATAACCCCATTTCAAAAGAAAAAAAAACGCCAAAAAACTCTTTTTAACATATATTTGGACAAACATATTAAATGGGCCCAAGGGTAAAAAAAAAAAAAAAAAAAAAGACATGGCAATTGTGAAGATAAAGAATAAATCATGTGGGAGGGCTTGCCTTACTAGATATTCAGTAAGCAGATTTTGGTAAAGTCACAGTCATTTAAACTCTATTCTATCTCTACTATAATAGAGCTGAGGGGTAAAATCAGGTGTTATGAACTCCAAAGTCAATGCTTTTAAATTTTGTAACGTGCCTATTTACACACTGGGGGTTTTTTTCTAATTTTTTTTCATAGAATCACCCTCATGAAAGCATATAGACTAAAAACAAACCAAAGTAATTGCCATAGAGAAAACTACAACCCTGACCACTTCAACACTGTGTTCACTACCAAGGAGTTAATAAAGCACAGATTTGGACAAATTTATACCACACCAATCCCTAAAAACATCAAATTATAACTTTATGTTTATGTACCAAATCGATGTTGCACCTATATATCTTTGTAATCAAAAGGCTCAGAAGTGACTAAGAATTTTAAGCAGCTGGTAATGTCAAGTAAATTTTGGATATAATTTTATAATGCTATAAAAGCTTAAAAATTCCAACTAACATAATAAGGCAAATATACTTTCTTTTAAAGATAAAAACATCACTTCACATAATAACCTAAAGCAAAATGGCCTTCCTTGGCTATATCTTGAATTTTTTTAAGAACAGACATTTCTGGAACAACTGGAGAAATCTGAATACAGTCTCCATATTCTATGTAATTAGCAATGCTAAAGTTGGGAGTTATAAGAATGGTATTTTATTTATGTAATATATGTTATTTATGTAATATTTATTTTACTGGTTCTTTTTAATTACATATGACAGTAGAATCCATTTGATATAATTATGTAAGCATGGAATATATCTTATTCTAATAATTAGGACTCCAGTCTTGTGGATGTACATAATGGTGAGATTCACTGTGGTGTATTCATACATAAACATATGTAAGTTATGTCAGATTCATTCCATTGTCTTTCCTTTTCCTATCCCTCCTCCCTTCCCTTCATTCCCCTTGTCTAATTCACTGAAATTCTATTCTTCCCCTCCCCCCCTTATTGTGGGTTAGCATCCACATATCAGAGAAAACAATCAACCTTTGGTTTAGGGAGACTGGCTTATTTCACTTAGCATGAT